TTTTAAAATATGTGGAAACTATGTTTCCTTTTTTTTTTTTTTTTTTTCTTTTTTGATTCAAGATCGATTTAGAGATTTTATTTGGAAAAAGAACGAAGATAAAAAAGGTATTAAAAAAGTTTTTCATTATTGTATAGTTTTTCAATATTCTTACACTTCTGGTATCTTTCAATATTATATTATAGAAGAGAATTATTAGAAAATTAATTGCTGAATATCGAGAGAATCTCTTTTGGAGAATTTGCGTGGCTTGATTTTATCAGTTTGAAATAAAAATTATTAAAACTAATCTAAAACTTTGCAAAAATTTTGCGATTTTAATTAAAATTACGCGACACCTCGAAGTTTGGGCAAAGTTTGTACGATAATTATGATTTACGCAATGGTTATGAGTTATTTCCTCGTACCTGACTCGTTGCGCTCTGGTCCAGTGATTTGGCGATGCACCACATGGTGATAAACAGAACCGGTATACCTGAAATTATATCGATCTTGTTTATGCAAAATATATTGACAACGAGTCATCACACACTTGACAGAATTAGAATAACTTACATTCATAAGTTACAAGAAATGAGACTAATTTTTATTATTTTTCTTCTTTGTTAAAAAGAAAATTGAATAATTGATATTTTCAATCAAGAAGATTTTTAATAATAATTAACGCGAATATTAATTAAAGTTAAAATATTTGTTACAAAATTATTATAAATTCTACATCTAGGATAATGGAATTTCTCAGATATCGATTTGAGTATTAATCGATCAAAGCTCAAAGTGTATATTCGTAGTAAAATAGTTCAACAAATAGGGGAGGAAATTAAAGGAAAGCACTTTGACATAACATACTATGAGGGATTATAGGAATGACGAGCGAATTCATCTTCTTCCCTTCCAAACTTCATTATTTTATTCATCGAATCTCGTTTCTTCTTCGTTAACTTTTATCATCTCTCGTACTTTTTTCTTTTATTCTTTTATTCAAATTTCTTTCTTTTTTTTTTTGCATCAGATGTGCAATATATAGCGGTCGATATTGATTTCGGAATGCTTCCAATTCGAAAGCAGGATATTCTCGATTATTAGAA